TGTGGATTTCAATTTCCCAGAGTTCCTCAGCCAGCTTTAAGGCTCGTAGACTTCAACTTCCACTCTGGGAGTTGAAGTCCACAAGTCTTAAAGTTGCCAAGGTTGGAGACCCCTGTAATCTAGTACATCTGAGTGGCATTTGCTTGGAGAAGGTTTCACCCAAAATGTTTCCTTCCACAGCTTGAAGCTCAGCTCGGTACAAGTAGTCCTCGACTTACGGCCATAATGGAGCCCCAAATTTCCGTTGGTAAATTTCTGATGGCGCTGTTTTTTTCAAGAGGCAACTGGACTTTCTGGTTTTTCTTCGAAGATGTTTCACTTCTCATCCAAGAAAATCCAGTTGCCTCTTGAAAAAAAAAAGCACCTTTGGGACAGCCATGACCTAGAGGACTGAGAATCTCTTATCAATACTAAGTGGAGACACTCGTTAGGTGAGTTTCGTCCTGTTTTACGACCTTGCCTGTCGCTGTTATTAAGCGAATCACTGCAGTTCGTTATGGCAAGGGTCTTCAAACTTGGCAGCTTCAACTCCCAGAATTCCTGAGCGAACGTGACCGGAGGAGGAATTCTGGGAGTTGAAGTCTTAAAGCTTCCAAGTTTGAAGACCCCTGTGTCTTATCACCTATCACCTATCAATTTATCCTGCCTCTCTCTCTCTCTCTTTCTCTCTCTCTCTCTCTCTCTCTCTCTCTCTCTCTCTGTACCTACTTACCTATTTACTTATCTATCAATCTATCATGTATGTATGTATCTATCTATCATCTATCACAAGGGTCTTCAAATTTGGCAAGTTTAAGACTTGTGGGCTTCAACTCCCAGAATTCCTGAGCTAACATGATTGGAGGAGGAATTTTGGGAGTTGGTCCACCAGTTTTAAAGCTGTCAAGTTTGAAGACCCCTTGTTGAGGTAATTCCCCGTTAGGAGAATGAGCGCATACAGGGAGACGTATTGAGAGTAGTGTTTGAATAATACACACACAGCACACAGATACACTGTACAGGAAATGTAGGTTTTTACTTCCAGAAACATTTAAGCAAAGTCCAAACAAGCAGTCCAAAGTCATTCACAGGTTAAATCAGTCAGTTTTTAGTCCAGGGATAATCCAATAACAAAGTCCAGTATCTAAAACAGTTCAGTATCAGACTTACATCAAATCCATGAATATCAGTCAATTAGGAAAAATGGAGAAACGGCAATACTCTCCAACAGAAGGAAAACAGAGACTTGCTGAGACACACTTTCTTCTGAGAGTAAGACTAAACAACCCAGGTTTCTGGCTCCATCTTATGGCCGTTTGAGGAACCACACCTAATTACAATTTTAGCATTCCCTTAAAGAGACAGTATTATAATGTTTCTCCTGGTTTATATATTTTCCAACCTAAATACCTGTTAGGTGACATATTCCTAACACCCCTCATCTATCACATATCACCTATCTATTTATCATCTCTCTCTCTCTCTCTCTCTGTCTCTGTCTCTCTGTGTCTGTCTGTCTGTCTATCTATCTATCTATCTATCTATCTATCTATCTATCTACCTATCATCTTTGTATGTATGTATCATCTATCACAAGGGGTCTTCAAACTTGGCAAGTTTAAGACTTGTGGACTTCAATTCCCAGAATTTCTGAGCTAACATGACTGGAGGAGGAATTCTGGGAGTTGAAGTCCACCAGTCTTAAACCTGTCATGTTTGAAGACCCCTGCGTTAAGGCAGTGACACGTTTGTTGAGTGAATCTGGGCTTCCACGTTGACTTTCCTTGTCAGAAGGTCGCAAAAGGGGGTCAAATGACTCTGGGACACTGCAACCATCATAAATACGAGTAAGTTGTCAAGTGTCTGGATTTTGATCTCATAACCATGGGGATGCTGCAACAGTCATAAGTGTGAAAAACGGTCATAAGACACATTTTTTCCATTGGTGCTAAAATAACAATTTAAATAAAATACTTATTCCCACTGTCAGGAAATTTCTCCTTAGTTCCAGGTTGCTTCTCTCCTTGGTTAGTTTCCATCTGTTGCTTCTTGTCCTGCCTTCAGGGGCTTTGGAGAATAAATCAAAACCTCCCCCTGCTCTGGGGCAGCCCCTCGATTACTTTTAAGCAGCAGCCTGTCTCCCACTCAAATTTTAAAAAAAACATTGCTCAACTTACTTGACCAATTGGAAGAGAGCCGCATGCAGAATTGTCTCCTGTATATTTTAATATTGCATTTTCTTCTCTGTTAAGCTACCGCCTAGTAAACACTGGAAGTTTTAAAGAAGAGATGGAATAATCATTTGTCTGAAGTGATATAGGGTTTCCTGCCTAAGCAGGGGGGTTGGACTAGAAGACCTCCAAGGTCCCCCCCAACTCTTCTCTTCTATTCTTATTCTATTCTACTTCTCTTCTTTCCTCTCCAATCCTCCTATTCCATTCCACTCCCTTATTCTATTCTATTCTATTCCCATTCCCTTATTCTATTCTATTCTATTCTATTCTATTCTATTCTATTCTATTCTATTCTTATCCTTATCCTATTCTATTCCCATTCCCTTATTCTATTCTATCCTTATTCTATTCTTATTCTATTCCATTCCATTATTCTATTCTATTCTTACTCTATTCTATTCCCATTCCATTCCATTCTATTCTATTTATTCTATTGTGGCAGTTTCTTCATCAGCCTGTTCTAGCCAAGGAGGGATCCAACCTGGAACTAAGGAGAAATTTCCTGACAGTGAGATAAATTAACCAGTGAAACATTTTGCTTTCAGAAGTTGTGGGTGCTCCATCAGGGGAGGCTTTTAAGAAGAGATTGAACAGCCATTTGTCTGAAATGATAGAGAGTCTCCTGGTTGAGCAAGGGGTTGGACTAGAAGACCTCCAGGGTCCCTTCCAACCCGGTTATTCTGCTAACCGCCATTTTCCAAGCTTCCTTCTTTCCTTTCCCTGGTGGGCCTACCTGATGGCTATGCAGCCGCACCTGTGTCCTTATTTTACATCAGGTCTGGGGTTCGACACCCCCCAATTCAAAAGAGATGGATCCTCCACTATTTAATTCTGAGTTGGGATGGGTGGATGGTCACTGTTTATTATTTAATAGACCCGCATGGTGCAAAAACCTTCCTGTGAAAATAGTTTGCTTATTTGATCCTGCCATCGGTGAAATGTTATTATAGGAATAAATTTTATGAGGTAGAATATCACAACCTGGTTTTGCTTTTTAATCCTTGCTGATTGCCGTGTGACTTGCAGGTATAGATAAGAGAATAAAATCAGACTAGAGTGGAGTGGAATGGAATGGAATAGAATCGAAAATATGGAGTGGGATAGAATGGAATGGAGAATAGAATAGAGAATAGAATAAAATAGAGAATAGAAGAGAAAATAGAATAGAATTCAGAAATATTATAGAATAGAATACTTTGTCACTTTGGATGTTACACTGATTGTCATACGTTAAAATGAAATTGTGTTGAATACGCGTGCTGAGAGCATTCAGTTTTGGGGGAAAAAGAGGATTGAATGCAGAATTTTGCCCGTTTTCAGATCTATTCTTTGGACCTTCAAAGAGCTGTTTCCGCTCACGCTGGAGAGCTGGGCTGGTTTTGCTTAATAGCGCAGGCGGGATTTTTATAGGTTCACACCAGTTTCGCAGCTTCTCCAGCCCATCGCCGATCGAAGCTATCTTGCCTCCTGCCACTCGTCCTTTTTTTCCGTGTGCTGGGAGAATTTGACATTACGGCCACAGCTCAGGTGGGGGGGCGTTTCCTTTTTTACGTTTCCCTCCTTAATTCTTGCGCCAACAGAAACTGGATGAATCTCCGAGATGCAGAAACTGGGAAAATCCTCTGGCAAGGAACGGAAGATCTCTCCGTCCCCGGAGTAGAGCATGAAGGTAACATATGAGGGGGTAGGGGGTGTTTCTGGGGCAGGGTTTTCTCCACCTCAGGAAGTACGGACTTCAACTCCCAGAGTTCCCTTTAAGAGCTGTAGACTTCAGCTTCCAGAATTCCCCAAGCAGCATGGCCAGCTCAGGGAATTCTGGGAGTTGAAGTCCACGGGTCATAGAGGCTTGCCCTTGTTTCTAACCCCCTTTCAGAGATTCGCCCAACTGGGGCAGGATCTGCATTAACCCATCTAGGGAGCAAAATAACCAACTTATTAGCTTCCAGTTTAGTAACCTCACATGGCCACGAACGAGGACATACAGGCCACAACTGAGACCCAGAATTTCTCTTGCTGAGCGAAACGTTACGTGAGCTCTGCCCCGTTGTACAAGTTTTCTTGCCACGTTTGTTAAGCGAATCACTGCAGTTATTAAAGTGGTAACCCGGTTGTTAAGGGAAACTTGGTTTCCCCATTGGCTTTGCTTGTCAGAAGGTCGCAAAAGGGGCTCACATGACACACACACACACACACCGGATATTGCCACCATCATAAATATGAGTCAGTCGCCAAGTGTCTGAATTTTGATCACACGACCTTGGGGGATGCTTCCCTATGTCAGGGTTCCCACGATAGCCCTAATTAAATAATGAGCCTCGAGCCAAGCTTCAAAAAAAAAATCTCAAAATATCTATTAGGAGCAACATGCCGCCATTAACCTAGACCTGTGATGGCGAGCCTATGACATGCGTGCCACAGGTGGCGCGCAGAAGCCATTTGTGCTGGCACGCGAGCTGTAGGCAAATTTACCTCACTGCCCATGTGCGCACCTCACAGCTGATTTTTGGCCGGTTTGAGGCCTTTTTTCGGCCTCCCAAAGGCTTGAGGAAGGCTTCTGCAGGCTTTGCAGGCCGAAAATTAGGCCCATTTTGTCACTTCCTGTTTTTTCTGAAAAAACCGGAAGTGACGAAACGGGGCTAGTTTTCGGCCTGCAGAAGCCTTCCTCGAGCCTTTGGGAGGCCGAAAAAAGCCTCAAACCGGCCAAAAATCAGCTGTGAGGCCCAGTGCAAGTAGGGGGCCGGCGGGTGGGTGGGGTGGGATTGCGCATGCATGCGTAGGGGACATGGGGGGGGGGGCGCATTGCCTTCTGGTTGCTGGCATGTGAGCGTGCAAGCACACGCACACAATTTTTGGCACAGGAGCCCCAAAAGGTTAGCCACCACTGACCTAGATGAAGCTAACTCTGGCATATGTAATTCATAGTCACCTGTGACCCTGTGTCCCTGTCCCCGTCCCCGAAGCACATTCATGGGCCGGGTGTCATCAATCACATTCTCTAATAAAGGATTTTCGGGGCCAGAAGATCCAGCCGCCTAGCTACAATCTTTTAAAGATAATAGTGGAATGTACTTCTGGTTTCAAACCGCCGTACTGTTCCTTCAGATTTCCCCCTCCCCCCCCCCCTTTTGCTTATGGCAACTTGAAAACAGGCATAGGAATGCTTTATGAGTTGACACCCTGGTCATAAGGGTGAAAAAACGGTCCTAAGTCACCTTTTTCCATGACATTATAACTTTGAAACGGTCACCAAATGAGCTGTTGTAAGTCAAGGACGACCTGGGCGTGGAATTTCTCCGCTACTAAGATTGCTGGCCGAGCAGGGACAAAAACAGCCAGGGAAATGAGTGAAGCCAGGGAAATGGACTCCTTGTCAGTCAAGAGGAGTGTTGACTGACCATCAGCTTATCAGGCGGCGAGGAAACAACAGCCAACAGCTGGCCATCAACACACCAATCAATCAACAGGAAGCCACGCCCAACCAGGCACCACAAAAATACTACGCACAAGAGCAGCCCAAAGCACACCTTCTGGTAGAGAGGCGTTCCCTGAGGACGGGCTCCATCACCAATCCCAAAGCTCAGAAGGCAAAACCTTTGGTCTCGGGGACCGACCCAGACCGGATACTGAAGCAAAACAATCACTTGAAGTGACGAAGAACCAACCGTTCACTTACTACGCAGTAAGAAGGGTGTCCGTAGAGATTCTCAATCATCCAAGACACTGTCCCAAAGGTGCTTTTTCCCCCAGTCTTTCGTGCGTGTGTGTGTGTGTGTGTGTTTTAAGACGTTTTGCTTCTCGTCCAAGAAGCTTCTTCAACTCTAACTGAATGGTGGGGAATGGAAGGATTTATATTCCTTGCAGACGGCTGGTCGTTTGCATCCTTTTTAGAAGGTTGTTGAGGCCACTTGGAGGTTTTACCTGTGTCTTCGGGGTCACCCGAGTAGTGCAAATGCTTCCTGTAGTCTGCCATTTTTCCCTCTGGAAATCCATTCCTGCTCCCAGCCCTTTCAAAGGGGTGTCCATCTCAAATTTGTATTAGCTAAAAGTTCGTAGAGATTCCCAGTCGTTCGGGTCATGCTTGTCCCAAAGGTGCTTTTTTAAAAAAAAAAGGCAACTAGACTTTCTTATTTTTTTTTTCCTTTGAAGACATTTCCCTTCTCATCCAAGAAGCTTCTTCAGCTCTGACCGGATGGTGGGGAATGGAAGGATTTATATTCCAAACCAGAAAAACAAAAAAACCAACCAAGAAAATCCAGTTTCCTCCTGAAAAAGCACCTTTGGGACAGTAAGAAGGGAGCTGTTTCTTTCTCTCTAAATTAGCACTGGTGTTTTGTCAATAGTCTGAATTGAATTGCTCAGCTTATCGATAGCACAAAAGGCTTGTGATTTATCAAGCCCCGATGCTTGAATTAGCCGGTTGCCTGAAATTGCTCTGCGAAATCTTCGCGCAGGCTTTGCAAAGACATAGTTAACCCGAGCCGGGTAGTCTTCAACTTCAAAACCGCAACGAGTCCAACATTTTCATTACTATAAGCAAGACTTTGGTAGAAACTAGGTTTGTTTCTGGCCACCATTGAGGCTTGCTGCCCAGGACAGTTTGGCCAATGGGTGGACTTCCATTGGATCCTAAATAGGAAACTCTTGATACAGGTTGTGCTTTCCTTGCAGTCAAATCTCCTTGTAGGGAGATTCGACCCCTGTTCTTGTGAATTTAGCAAGCCTTGATAGGCTGGGGTTCGTGTTACTTAAGAAAGGAGATATGGGACAACCATAGTTGTCAAACGAAGGTCCGCTATAAAGATCTTTTGCCCCCTTATTTAAGGCCAGTGGCCTTGCGTCTTTTGCGCCCTACTGAGAATTTCTGGAAATGCAAAGTTAAGCCAGACACAGTTGTCTGACACCAGACATCACTGAAAGGCAGAATCACGAAATTGTCCCCCGCTTGCTTTGGCCACGTCACGCAGGGGAATTCAGCGGAGAAAGCAATTATGAGCTTGCTTTGAGTTCTTGCGGACATTTCATTGCCCAAACTAGGTAACATCATCAGTGCTGGTAGACTATAAAATGAGCGCAAACCCCCTTCCCTCCTAGCACTGATGATGTTACCTAGTTTGGGTCATGAAACGTCTGCAAGAACTCAAAGCAAGCTCAAAGAGCATCCAGGAACAGAAGGGGTATTCAGCGGGTTCTGACCGGTTCTGGAGAACTGGGAGCGGAAATGTTGAGTAGTTCGGAGAACCGGCAAATCCCACACCTCTGACTGGCCCCGCCAACCCCATCTCTTCTCTGCCTCCCATTGAGTCCCAGCTGATCGGCTGGGTCTCCTTTGGTTGCCCTGCGCAGGAGAACGGAGCTGGAAAGCAGGTTAGTGGGGTGGAGACGGAAGGGGGATTTTGCAGTAACCTCCCCCCAGGAGTGAGGAGGGAATGGAGATTTTACAGTATCCTTCCCCTGCCACAGCCACCAAGCCACACCCATAGAACCGGTAGTAAAAATGTTTGAATCTGACCACTGACCAGGAACCCCCTCATGTCAACCCTGAGCTACAAATTGTTCTGACCCAGACTTCCCAAGATCATGAAGCCGACTCCTCGTCCCGATAAAACCCCTTTTATTTAGGTTCAAGTGAATTCCTCTCCAGCGAAGGTCCTGGCAAACAGTCTTTCATGAGATTTCACAACTACAGACCTTTATCAGGCTGGGAGAGTTGCCAGGCCGATAGCTTCCAAACGCCACGCTGTAGCAGCAATTACTTGGCAAGGAGTCAGGAACAGATCTTCGCCCTAGTGGATTGAACTAATTGTCTCCTGCAAAAACCCCACTCCCCTTTCGCTCCTCTTTATTCCCAGTGGGAGGGGCCATTCACCGTCCACCTGTGCCTTTACTCCCGAGTTGAGCCTTGTTCCTTAACTGTTCCCTTCTTCTGGCAGCTCTGTGCATGTGCACACTGGGAACAGGCTCCAGCTGTTCTTCTTCCCCACTGATCCCCGACTCCGAAGGCAGCTGATAACTGTCGCATGGCTCTGGCCCCATCTCTGAGCCCTCGTCCGAGCCTTGTGGCCCCTGGCAGGCCACAACGCAAACATTCTCCTTTTATTAGAAAGCAATTACACTGGGATGAGTTAGCAGCATAAGGAAACCAGGGCGCCAGAGAACAACGGTGGCTGGACACCATCAACGCTGACACCGGCCAGAGCATAGAAAAACTGAAAAGAAGTATCAAGATTGGGAGACGGGGGAGAGATCTGACCCAGAGAACCGCCAAGAGTTGGTGTGATTCAATGGATAACATCATCATCAAGATCATCGGTTGTTTTGTCAAGCCATTCATCTGGCTAATGGCTCTTTTTTCTTCTTCAAGATCTGTTGTTAGGTTCCAGGTCCCAAAGTTTTTATGATACAGATCATTTTCTCCCCGGGGGTGGGCGGGTGGGGAAGTCATTTTGCTACCATGCTGTGTTCTGTCCCACCTGTATCCACAGAGGAAACTTCAAGTTATAGAGTTCAAATACTTTACGTAAACAAAACCAGAGACAGAAGATTCAATTGCTCTGTTATCACAGCCCTTTGGCAATCCTCCTAGAATCTGTCCGGCAATTCTGTAAAGTTCGTAAATCACAACGCAGTAATCAGACGCAAGTCTTTTCCAAGGCAAGATTCGCTTTGTTTCCACCAAAGATTTCAAAGTCGTGCGCTCCCTTATATCCTCTAAGAAAGGGCGTGTCAGTCTCATTAATTAATCCTTTGCTGGACGTCTCTTTTCTAATTGAGATTGACGTCTCAATTTTCTCCTGGTTCTGGCATCCATCCAGCATCCGGCAGTTTCATCACAGCTTGAATCCTCTGATACACTTTCCTGATTAACAGTTAACACCTGAGGTGTAATTAGGGAAGTAGATTCTTCAGTGGACTCTGAATCCTCCAATAAATCAGGTTCGTCTCTCAAATCCAACTCCTCTCCCTCTACTTGACTCCCCTCTAAGTCACTTAATAATGCAGGCTCGAATCTCAGTGCCAGATCGTCTTCCTCGCTCGAAACCACATCTGCTGATCGATCCGGTTCAAGTCTCGGAGTCACAACGATGCTGTATAATTTACAAGGCACAGAACCACAGCCTGGTTAAAAGCATTAAAACCGAGGCAGTGTATTTATCCCTGAAAACAATTCAACCAGAATTATTTCATGTTTCCTTTGGAGAGGAAGGATGCATCGAAACAGATTTACTCCTTTTTAGTTGGAAACGCTTACGACCTTTTGAGTGAAAACTGGATTTTCCTACCATTGCTCTTTTTCTTTTCCCCGGCAAGAGTGAGACTTCCATGGAGGGCAAAGGTCTCCAAGCTCGGCCACTTTAAGACTTGTGGACTTCAACTCCCAGAATTCTCCAGACAGGGAGTTGAAGTCCACAAGTCTTAAAGTTGCCGAGTTTGGGGACCCCTGATTTAGGGTGTCACTCTTAAACACCCCACTTATAAGGCCTGGCTACATGCATCTAATTAGCATACCCACTGGATCAAGGCAAAAGTGAAAGTGTCCCTGTTCAGTCGTATCCGACTCTAGGCGGTGGTCTCGTCTCCATTTCCTAACCAAGAGAGCCAGCATGGTCCACTAATTTCCGTGGTTGTGTGGCCAGTATGATTATACGCCGAGATGCACAGAACGCCGTTACCTTCCTACCGAAGTGGTACCTATTTATCTACTCGCGTTTACATGCTTTTGAACTGCGAGGTGGGCAGGAGCTGGAGCAAGGTACAGGAGCTCACCCGTTGCTTTGTGCTTGGGTCTCAAACCTCGACTGTCATCTTTACAGCTAGCAAAATAAAGGGCCTTTAACCACTGAGCCTTCCCACCTCCTTTACTTTCAAACTGAGGTGGTGGGCAGGAGCTGGAGCAAGATATGGGAGCTCACCCGTTGCTTTCTGCTTGAGTCTCAAACCTCGACTGTCCTCTTTACAACTAGCAAAATCCGGGTCTTTTAACCACTGGTCCATCTCACCTCCTTTATTTTCGAACTGCCAAGGTGGGCAGGAGCTGGAGCATGGAATGGGACCTCACTCCATCCCATAGCACTTGGGTCTCAAACACAGGCTGTCAGCTTTCCAGCTGAAAAGCTCATCCTGACAGTGGGGCTTCATACCTTTTGCCACCCCCAACAAAATATTTTAAGCCTCATCCTCCAGCCGGCGGTTAGGTGTGCATCGTGATGCTCAGTGCAGTTGCAACTGCCACCTTGACTATTTTGGGGTGGGGGTGGGGACCCACTAGGCAAGCACCCCTGCATTGTGCCAGCCCAGTTGGGGAGGGGTCCCTTTCCACAGCTGACAAGCCCCTGGTTGGAAATAACTTGGCGTTTGGCACGTCTCTTCTAAGTCGGGACGCAGGATGAAAAGACTTAATGGAAAGTCTCCAAGCCGTGCCAATTCTTCTCCACACGCAAACATAGGCTTTTGAGAAGGCTCAGGGAAGGGTTGCCGTTATTATATTTGTATTTTTAACCTGGCTCCACGGGGGTTCGTCTTACACGCCGTTGGCTTTCAAGAAAGCTCAAACTGCCCAAGGAGCTTCTGATCGGTTCTACAGAGAAATTATTGAGTCTGTCATCTGCACCTCTAGAACTCTCTGGTTGGGTTCTGCAACCCTACAAGACAGACACAGACTTCAGAGGATAATTAGGACTGCAGAAAAAACAATGGCTACCCACCTGCCTTCCATGGAGGACCTGTATATCCTCATGAGTCAAAAAGAGGGCTGTGAAAATATCTACAGACCCCTCACAACCCAGACATAAACTGGTTCAACTCCTTCCCTCAAAACGACATTATAGAGCACTGCACACCAGAACAACTGGACACGAGGACAATTTTTCCCCCAACGCCATCACTCTGCCAAACAAATAATCCCCTCAACACTCTCCAACTATTTACAAAGTCTGCACTACTATTACTATTAATCTTCTCCTCTCTCCTTATCACCCATCTCCCTCCCACTTGTGACTGTAGGACCGTAACTTTGTTGCTTGTATCCTAACGATTTGTATGGACTGTTTCCTAGTATGATTTGATTGCTTATTCTACCCTATGATTATGATTAAGTGTTGCACCTGATGATTCTTGACTCTTGACGAACGTCTCTTTTTTAGGTACACTGAGAGTTTATGCACCAAAGACAAATTCCTTGTGTGTCCAATCACACTTGGCCAATAAAAAATTTGACTCTATTCTATTCTGTTCTATTCTGTTCTGTTCTATTCTATTCTGTTCTGTTCTATCCTATCCTATCGTATCCTATTCTATTCTATTCTATTCTATTCTTATTGTGTTCCGTGACTATTATTAAATGTTGTACCTGATGATTCTTGACTCTTGAGGAATATATATTTTCTTTTATGGACACTGAGAGCATTTGCACCAAAGACAAATTCCTTGTGTGTCCAGTCACACACTTGGCCAATAAAAGAATTCTATTC